AGTAGTCGTCGTCGTCGCCATCGTCGTCGTCGTTGTCGTCGTCGTCGTCGTAGTACTAGTGGTGGTGGTAGTAGTAGTAGTAGTAGTAGTCGTAGTAGTAGTAGGGAGTAGGAGGGGAGTAGGAGAGGAGTATGAGTAGGAGTAGGAGTCGGAGTAGGAGTAGCAGCGGTAGCAGTAGAAGTGGTTGTAGCAGCAGTAGAACAGTCGTCGTTGGCATGCGAGGTCCTGGCCCCACCACCACCGCCGCCGATAACTGCGAGCTTGCCGGCATCGTAACAGCTCCGTAAGACCTGGAGGAGCTCGCTTGTTTAGGCTTCTGGATTACGGACTGTTGGAGGTTTCGTGTCAGGGACCTGGGGAGGCGCATCCTGTCCATTGAACCATGAGGTTCCGATCTGTTCAACCAAGATGGTGTGACAACTTGCTTGCTTGGTGGTCGTAGGAACATAGAACTATACACTCTTTCACACGTTGTAGCCCGAGGCACCTCAAGGGTGCAAAACCTCTTCAGTCCCCCCTTGCCCTGTGAAACCTGACCCCTCCGATCTCTTCGAGGTGGCTGGGCCAAGGGCGCCCTCGCGCCAGTTCCTCACCGCCTGCAGACGGTTTCGTGAGCCAAAGTGTTGAAGGTTCAGCCTAAATCCACCAGCAACTAGTTCATTCATTTGGCTTTGCAACACAACGCAGTACGATACATAGTTGTTGGCAGCTCGGTCCGGAACTTCGCCTATCCCAAGCGGATCATGCAGACACAGCACCTGTTTCAAGCATAAGTCATGCTGTTTGCATGCTCGAAAGGAACCAAATCGTTTTCAGTCCCAACTCAACTGTTGAGAAGCAGCAAACAGAACTACAGCTTGACCAGCTAATGTGCATGGTGGTGTTGGGTTTCGGGCAAAGTTCTTTACTGAAGCCCAGAACTCAGGGTCCTCGAACCTCAAAACAACTGAAAATCGAAAGCTCGCTAAAGCGCTTCAGTCGCGTGTCCACACATGGAGGCTCACTGGCGAAACATCACGCGGCCTGGTAGCCAGCGGCACTGCCAACTGCCCCGTTATCGTCCATCCTGGCCACCAAAATCTTCGGGTTGTTGCAGGCAACTCTGCTTTGGAGTTTCAACTTTGATCTTGAATTTCCGGGGTCTCAAGTTGCTTGTAGCTCGGGCCCCGGGCTTCAGGAGAAGCGGCCGATCTTTCCGTGATAGAGCAAAGAGCCATGTCAAGAATCCCACGAAAACAACAAAAGATGTAAACTCCATGTCATGGAGTGGTCTGCACAAGCCGGATCCTACGACCATGGATCAAGACCCTGCAAGTTGTGGCCCAAGAGCTTTGCTCCGCAAGTGATTCGCAGCGGCGACTCCTGAAACATGCGGGGCTTGGGGAATTTGGGTTTCGCGAGGAACTCTAATATCAAACTGAACTCTACACTGAACCTTACTCCGCGAGCTTCAATCACAGCTTGCTCACGCTGTCTGAGCACATTGCTCATGTCCCTATCCGTGTGCTACCAGTCCGGGGGAGAAACCAATGCTTCGTACCTGCTTCCTTGGATTAAAAAGTTGCTGGCAATCTTATAGTTGGGTAATACCACTCAGATC